ATAGCAGCAGTTGATCCTAACAAATTTACCAATTATTTCTTTTAATATTTAACTGAAAAATAATAATTTATTTACCTGATCCAGTAAAAATAACAACATCATTATCTGTTGCATTGATATATTGTTTAATTAATGTTCGTGCTCCTTCACGAAATTTTGTAGTTTGTATTCCACATGTATTATTGTCACTATGTGTATTAGCATAACTAAAAAAACAAACAATATTATTCCTAATTTTAGAACAAAAAATTTCTTCTCACTAAGGTAAGATATTGTTTAGCATGTAATGTTCAATAAACATAAGAGCACGTCCAGATGCTGTATAATCAGCATAAATCACTGTAGAAGAACAATGTATTTGTTTATGTTAATGACAATAGGTAATCATACTTTTTCGAGATCCCCATGGAGTATTGATTCGAACATTATTACCAATGATATTTGAATCAATATATTGGAGAAGTTGTAATTTATCTAAGTAATACATATTAAATACATTATGTATGCTCTCTTTAACAAATTATTATTTTAAAGATAGCCGATTACAAATTTAGATTTTTAAAAATTTTGTTCTAACTTTGATTATAAAATATCTAACAATTTCTCATCTTATTTTAGAAGAATAAAGTCTTCTACATTCTCTTTTTCAAAAGATGTTATTACCCTACATGCTTCTTATTTTTATTTGATAAGTTACTGATATAGATAAGAGTTAAAACAAAATTAAATTTTACTATGTCTAGTGGCAATTAATGTAAAAAAAAATAGAAATTCAAACTCACTATAATCAAATTGATGGAAATCAGGAAAAATTGAAGATATTGTAGTTACATCTAATCGAGAAAATGGAAGAAGTTGGTCATCAAAAGGGTCTGTATTCGATGTTGTTATAGTTTGATTGAAATTGTTCACTATTTGTGAATGACTCAATGAATTAAATGAACGATGGGAGGATTTCATCGATGAACGATTCTGTAAGTAACATATGACTTTGAATTTAATTTATTTAGTTATTATTTACTAATGTTTGTTGTTGATGATTTTCAGAAAGCGTTACTTGTTCGGTTGAATGTTCATTCGTTGATGTAGTTCGGAATTCTAAATCTCTTGAATTGGTTCGAAGTAAAGTCGGTTTATTTGATAGATTATTTCTAGTTTTCTCTGAATCAATCAAAAGAAAGACTTATGTAAGAAAAACAAAAAAACTTTACTAGGGTCCGTCAAAAATAAATCGACAGGAAGCTAATAAAAATAAAAAAAAAACAAAAAAAAACTTTACTAGGGTCCGTCAAAAATAAATCGACAGGAAATTAATAAAAATAAAAAAAAATACTAAAAGCTATTAAATTTTAAAATTCTATTTAATTTCTTCATTTAAATGTATAACTCACGTACATTGTCATTTAATCCGTACATAGCCAAAACATTCATAACATTTTCTTGACCTTTCCATTGACCAAGTGACTAGAATTCAATGAAATAAAAATGAAATTTAGGATTTAAAATAAAACTTTACTTGAAAACCTCCAATTGTCTCATAAAACGATGAAGTCATTGTAATTCTAAATAAAACGAAACAGAAAATAGTTTGTTTTATATAAATATATATTGTGAAAAGCAGAACAGTTGCAGATGATTCAGTTACAATAATTGTATCCAATCAATAGAGAATAGTGTGTCACTACAAAAATTGTTGCATACAGTTCACTTAATCATTTCTCCGAAAAACCTTTTTAAAAAATATAACATACATTTTATGAGAAAAAAGTATATAATACAGCTAAATCTCAAATAATATTGTATCTCAGTCATGACAACTTATTTATACAATAAAGTCTATCCTATTATCTCACCTTTCGATAGTACTTAAAATAACGTATAGAAAGAATGTAAATCTAAACGAGCCAGGAGAGTTTGGTTCTTTGTAATATCGTTTTCGACTGGAATGATAAACTAGACGATCTCGGTTTCAGTTTTTTTCATAAAAATAAACATTCTCATCATTGAATTCTGTATTTCTTTGTTAATCTGACTCTTCATTTTCCTGAAAATTTTATTAATAAGTAGATATTTTAGCCATTTGACTTCTCCAAAAATTTCATTTGAATCCAATCCGTTGCTCTCATGATAGTGTTTTCCTAAAAACTCTCATTTTTTACCTTTTTTCTGACAAAGGTATTTGCTCTTAGAAATTTAGTAACTGTTACAAAGCATATCCATTTGTGATAAAAGTTATAAAATACTCAAATAAATATCATATCTATCTATTGATAAAATGGCAGCTTGAAATTCGATCATTAGGTTTAAATTACATAAAGAAATATTCATTCTTATGTACAAAGATCTGCGCATCAATTTCACTTAGAGGGCATGCTTCTCATCCTTTGAGAATTGGGAACCAATTTTGTTTAAAAACAAGGCAATAAATTTTATGACACATGGATAATCGAAATTGGAAGACTTATGAGAAGGCCAATCACACCATGAAAATAGACGAGATGCTATTCAAGTTGTTGTCTGCTGTTCAAAATGATGGGAATACTTATTCTCTTATTAACAGCAAATGATTTCTTAATTTGGTTCATTCGAGAAAATATATGACAAAAATAAAACTATTAGTCATGAAGAACAATATTGTATTGTGTTTTTCGTACTTATTCATTGATTATTTCTCTCGCATATGCATCTGAAACATGATATGTGAAGTTTTAAGTCCGCATTATGAAAATTTGTTACAGAAATATTTTATTACTTCGCAAAATGCGCCTTCTCTCTATAAATATTCCCGAAAGCTGGTAATGAAACTAATTACGTAGTACTGTAACAGCTTCTTATCAGTTCAGATCGTAAGGACTGATTTACCAGTTATAATTTTTGGGAATGGCTCTGATCTAACAGATTAAAGGAATTATGAAAACGTCCTTTCGAACTGAACCTATTACAGTTTTAAATGTACTGACTGTTTTCATATTTTCTGACTTGCATATGATGTATCAAAGACTTAATAAGAGCATCCAAACTTTCAAAAAACATTAGCTTTGAAATATAAAAGATACAGTTTTGAAGAACAAATTCAGATTGATCTTTTAAGATGTTAAATAGCAGAATACATTCTATATGAAACTTGTAATTATTTGGATATGAATAAGTAAAGACTCCACAATCGACATTAGATCGAATATGAAAAATAAACACCTATAATGGTAGCATGTTGCTCATTCTGTGTATGAATAATGAGAAGTATTGAAGAAAATATTTCTTCCTGATAAAAGCACATGTTTCAATGTCTGATCTATTTCATCGATCATTACAGTCTTGAATACTTACAGAGTAATAATTAATCGACAATACTACGACAAACAAATAGTCGAAAACAAGAGTAAGTAAACAGTCGATAATCGTAGATGTTTTCCTGAAACAAAAATAAATGAATCGTAGAAAAAGTTTAATTGAAATTTCATTCATGCTTATCCGCTTCAAAATAATTATCAGATGACGGTTTTGCGGATAACATCTGACACATATTTTGAAACGAATAATATCCATCTTATGTCTACAAAGGAATGAATTTCAATCTTGATCTATGCTGGAGAAATGAACTATTGGCCTTGTTTTGAAGATCGATGAAGATTAACGTCTAATACAATGTTGTTTATTGCAAAGTCATATTCTGTATATGATGGTGGACGTGATGGCAATGTCCATGATAAACAAGATAGAAAGAGTTCAATAAGTGTGATTAGAGAAAAGGGAGAAATTCAGGTGATTAGAATAACAAGACATGAAAAATTCCATATGCCTTGAAGGAGAGAACAACAAAGAAAAAATCGATATGGCATAAAAGAGAGGAAAGAAAAAGAATGTGTTGGGAAAGAATGATGTTGTGGAATGGAAACTTCACGGACTGGACCTTGATGACTCTGTAACAGCATTAACAAACTTTTATCATCTATCTTCACTTTAAAAAGTAAAGAAAAAAAGAAAACGTCGACAAAAGTGTTATCGTTTGTGTTTGTTTTTGTTTTGCGGTCTTCTTCATTCTCACTTCAACAATAACACTATAGACGAAGTACTGGGCTAAAACCCATAGAAAGAATATTTTAGGTTTCTTATCGTCCAGGAGTATATGAAAGCAAAACAAAAAAACAAGTTGTTTACGCATTTAGATTATTTATACGCATTTTTTTATCTCGTGTAAATATTGTTAGAAAAATAAGTACGATTTAAGAATATGATAAGATAGTTTCATTCAAAAAGAAAAACTTAGTCGTAAAATAATTTTAATATAGTATACGTGGGAGTGTGGGTGGAAGAGCCGATCTTTTCTTCACCTACAGCTACACGCAACAGGTAGTGTTTGCTTCACTATGATTTTAAGTCTTTACTTATCTATTATCGATGCGATAGAATCCTTTGAAGTTTATAATATTCTCAGTGATCTCAAAGGTAGATCTCGTGTTCGCCTGTTATCAACTCTTAACAATCAAATAAAATGAAGATTACAAGAGTATCATCTTTTCCTATCATGATTAAAGCTAATGACCAATGGAAAGATCAATTTAAACACGAAACTATGACCTCTAACAAAAAAATTCACCAAATAACACGTTATTTACATCGAATTGTATGAGCAAACTATTGCAATAATTGCTGCCAATGTGAAAATGCAAGCAAAAAAACTTGCTTAAAAACGATTACAATTGCATATTTAAGTGCTGGGTTTCAACAAGGGAATATTCATCTGTAATCTAGTCCTATTGTCATCATACTGTGCGTATATGTAGAAAATCACGAGAATAGCATAAACTCAAAAGTTTTGGCTTTTTTTCATAGATATTCGCGATAATGTTTATCATTCCTCAGTATTGTGTGTAAAACATGAATATTCTGAAAAATTCAAATGTTGACCATGTGATATTCAAAACGAATGAAATTTAATATATGAGATAATTTAAGTAAGACCTTTATGTGTATGAAGCTGCAGGTTGAAATTGAAAAATATGTTGTTTTTTTTTATAGAAAGCTACTCGCCCAGAAGGAGTCTAGTGGAAAGCTATGCTCTCAAATAAATCTGGAAAAGGATCAGAATCTTCTGGATGTTATACTATTCTCGTGATTCTCAACATATGATTGCAATATGACGACAATAGGAGTGGATCGCTAAGAAATGATATTTTGTAAGTGACACAAAATCTGTTTACGACTTACTTTCTGTAGAGAGCCAGTAGTTCTTAACTATTGGGTTTTGTGTATTAACTTCGAAGACAATGAATCGGCTAAAAATACTCCAATTTGATGTTATAATTTGTTTGACGAGTAAGTTTTGTTCTCAACACTTTCTATAGAAGTTGATGTAAACTGACGGCGCTGTAGACATATGTCGAAACTTTCAAGAACGATAAAAACTGAAAATTAATTCACATTTGTTTGTGAAGTGTGTATTGAATATGCGAACTTACGAGTTCAAATTACTCCAGTGTCATTATCAAATCATTTTTAGCCAATTAATCGATTTCAATTCGACTCTGGATCCGATCTCTCACTTTTTCTATATAAGCTCAATTTTTCGGTTTTCTACATTGGGATAAGAAATATATGAAAGCTATTGAGAAATTGTGAACTCATAAAAATGATCTTGAAGCAGAAGCACTATGCGTGATATTTTTTGTGTAAAATATATTTTTGCGGCTATAGTTCTATAAGTCGTGTGCGACATTATATCAATTAAAATGAAGTTATTAGCTTTTTCTGAGTTGCTTTGAAATAGCTTACGAAAGCAAAAATGATTACATCGGTGAAACTAAATCTAAACGCTGATGGGGTCGAATTGAACAAGAAGTAGCACATCTAAAAATGTATGATGTAATCGATCTCGGTGGTCAACTCGAATTGTTACGCAGAAAGACAGTTTATCGATGAATGGTGTTGCCAAGTATTAGTTTTCATTCAAGAAGTTTTTCATACAATATATCAGAATCATATCATAAGTATTCAACCAGTAGTCATCGAATTATTCAAAATAAAGCGAAAGAAACCAAGAAAAAATATGCTAAATTTACGAAAAAGCAAAGACACGTTTCATTATTGTTTGTGTGAAATGTAAATGAAAGAACACAAAGCCAATCAACTCGTTATTTATAATGATTTCAATGCTCGTGACCAAGTTAATCTTGCTGACATGTAAATACTCTGAGAAAAATATAGGAGGTGCACAGAATCTTTTAGAGGTCTAACCGGTGTTCTGCAAGCCTTCTTGAGTTTCTTTCAGAGTATGAAAGATCAATATGAACCTATAGCATTCTTGATGAATAACTTTGAAAGCAAATAGACGATATGGATTCTTATTGACGAGCTTCACTGCATTTCATAGACATTGATTTACAATTGTTCTGACTTTTGATGAGCCGATTGAGTCTAGTCGATGTACGATATCAAAAAGACCACGACTATTCGAATTGAGTTATACACATAAGTGACTGACGATTAGTGACTCACATTTTTTAACAATTATTCAGCTAACTGTTCGTTGAATCGATCCGTTAGTAGATCTTATTA